AAAGCCTAGAACTCTTAAAATAACAAAGCCTTTATTATAATCTTAAGTTCTATCTACTTAGACCTTACCTTTAATATTATATCTTGTAATACTATAGTAGAAGTCTAGAAGTTTCTAGCTAGTTGCTTTAACTAAGATACTAGTAATATATCTATATAACTTTTCTACCTTCTAATAAACCTACGCTATTATAATAGTAATAACTTTTACTTTTATATTAATACTTTTTATTTACTATAGACAAGAATAGCTAAGTAATATTTAGGCTCTAGTTATAAGGTTGCTTAGTTTATACTACTAATCTTTACTTCTAATAATATTAAGAGTTTATTCTTTTTAATTACTCTTCTAGATACTATAGATTATATTATTAATAACCTTAGTACGCAAGAGCTTACCTTCTTTACTACTATTAAGCTAAAGCTTCTTAATTTAGCTAAGAAATATATACTTAATATTAACTTAGCTGCCTATACTATAATAAAGTTATAGTAGAATAATAATAAGTAACTATAAAAGCCTACTATCTTATTCTTTTAGCCTAAGCTTAACTTAAGTTAGCTACTCTTCTAATTAAACGCAAGCTTCTTAAATAAATATACATAGTACTAAAAGTATAACTATATCTTTATTAGTTATATCTTTATAGACTACTATTATCTAAGAGAATATAAGAAATATAATAAGAAGAAGACCTCTAATTAAAATGTAGAACTAAGTAAGAAGATAAAGAGTAATAAAGCTTCTAAGTCTATTACTATCTCTAATAGAGATAACTTAGATATAGAAATTAACACCTTTATAGTATTTATTAAAATAATTAATTCTTATAGTAAGTAATTACAAGAGGTTAGTGCATATATTAATACTCTCTCTACTTCTAGCTCTCTTTTAAATACTTAGCTCTTTAATTCTAGTGCTTCTTACTATATATCTAGAAATATTAATAACTTTATTTCTCTTTAACTAGTAAGAGAGATAATTACTATTACTAGATAATAGAGAATACTAATTAATAGATAAGGCACTATTTAACTAACCTATATACTCTCTAATAGTTTAACTTAGATTTTAGAACTAATAAACGTTCTTTTTAGTAAGAAACTTAGATCTACTTACCTCTTTAGCTAGCTCTATATCTAGAATAAGAGGTATAAAATTTAAGCTAAAAGTAATAATCTCTACCTTACTAAGCCTAATAAAAGCTATACTCTCTAGGCTATATACTAGTATAGCTTAATAGAGATCTAGACTATTAATTCTAAGCTTCTAGAATCTATACCTTAGTCTATATAGTTATTATTTGCTTTATACTAAGAGTTCTACTATACTATTAGTTACTTTTAGATCTGTAACTCTAAGAGGCTCTACTAAGATTTTAAATCTATACTAAAGCGCCTAGATAATTTCTACTATAATAACTACTAATCTACTAAGTCTACTTATTAGAAGCCTAAGAAACGCATAGCTAAAGCTATTTATTCTTTTAAGAACGTCTACTCTAATTTCTCTAGAAAGTTTAGCTATCTCTTAATATCTAGATTCTAGTACTTTCTAACCTTTATTAATAAGGCTACTTACTACTCTTAGATTTACTTTATTAAGACTAAATCTAAGACTACTTAGGTTATTTAGAACTTTATTACGTTTGTAAAGCTGTAACATAAGACTAATATCTAATAATTTATAACTAACTATAGTAGAGAGTATATATCTAAGAATCTTAAAGCTAAGTTTAATAGTCTTAGTATTATCTACTACTTAACTCTATCTTATAGCTATAAATTAAATAGCCTAGTAGAGTAGTTTAACTAGATAATTATTATATTAGCTTAAGCTATAATATTTAAGAACTAGCTTCTCTTTTTCTAGTCTAAAGTAATAGCTACTGCTATCTTTCTAAAGAACATTGCTCTATATAGCGCTCTATCTAATATACTATATTACTAGCTAATAGAAAAGAAGCCTTTAGTTAAATATCTTTATCTATTTAGTTAATTAATATATGTTTACGTTCTAGTTAAGACTAAATTACTAGGTACTAAACTCTACTATTACACAAAGCTAGGTATCTTTATTAGCTATAGTAAATCTATTAAAGCGCAACGTGTTTATATTCTAGACTACTATATTATTTTTAAATCTTAGAATACTAACTTTAGACTCTAGGTTCTACCTTCTACTACGCCTACTTCTACTTAGAAGCTTAATACTTAGATAGCTATATTAGATAATAACTCTCTAAGAGAGAATAAAGTAAACCTAAGTAGACTACTACTAATATAACTAAAGAAGACAATAGCTTAGTCTTAGATATCTATACCTTTATTTCTATCTAGCTCTTTCTAAACCTATAAGAGCACTCTTAAATAACTATAGTAAGCGCCTAGAACTACTACTTTATTAGCTTTACCTATAAGATGTTGCGTTATACCTTCTTCTCTCTTCTTACCTATTATAATACGCTTAAGTTAGATAGTTAAACTTATAAATAAGATAAAGAATACTTAAGATAATATAGCTTTAGATGTATAAGTAATGCTATTAAACCTATTAGGCGTCTAGAATACTATCTATGCCTTTAGACTTATAGCTCTAAATATTCTATAGTTATACTCTAAAGCCTAGTAATCTATATACTAGCTATAATAGAAATAAGCTATAGATAATAAGCTTACTACTTATAAAGCTGCTAAAATCTAGAAAGATACTAATAAATACGCAAATTAAGTTGTTAGTTCTTACTAAGTATATAATATTAAGCTTAACTAAGATAGAAATCTAATAAAGTTTAAAGTAAGAGTAGTTACTTAGAGCTTCTTATAATACTCTAGCTATAATTACTTTAATACCTACTTACTAGTTATCTACTATAATACTCTATAAATGCTTATATATATAGCTATTCTACTTAACTAGAAGATTTACTAAATTAATTTTAATACTATCTACCTAAATAAAGTTCTTAAGAAAGTTATCTTTATGTATCTTTTTTCTAGCTATATAATAAAGAACTTATACCTAAGGCTGCGTAAAGCTCTTTATAGCCTTAAATAATCTAGTTAAGAATAGTAGTATACGCTTAGTAGAGAACTTATAGAATTAGAATTTTAGTAGATAAAGTTTAACCTCTACGTCTTTATAAGCTTTATACCTTAGCTACTTATTATTACTATATATATTAATAATCTACTACTTCTAGAATATAATTAGCGTATTTAGAACTTTAAATCTATTATTACTACTAAGTTTAAATATAAGAATCTTAGAGTTGCTTACTATTTTTTAGAAATTAAAATTAACTAGTATAATAACTAAATTATACTTAGCTAACTCTTATATACCTATAAGGTTCTTTAGCGCTTTAAGATATTATTCTCTAATAAATAGAAAACCTCTCTTAATCTAAACTTAATCTCTACTTACTCTTTAGCTAACTTTACTATTAACCTAATTAATAAGAAGCGTTACTAGTTCTACTAGCAACTTATAGAATCTAGTAACTACTTTATTATTAGCACTAGGCCTAACTTAGCTTACACTAATATACTACTTAAAATATACAATTCTAACTCTATAGATTTACACTACTACATTACACTCTAGTTATTATAGTATATCTAATATTCTAAGAATTATATTCTTATCTTTAAGCGCTTAAACCTAATACTAGTAATTTAGAAAATTAAGATCTACTATAACGCCTTTTAGAGATTAGATTCTAATAACGCTAAATTCTTTTATAGGTATATTCTCTAGATTAATAAAAGTATAATCTTCTAGTCTTCTAAGTATTAAGTGTTTATAGCTAAATCTACTTATAAAGCTAAGTATATAGTATATTTCTACGCTACTACTTACCTAGTTTAGACTTATTATATACTCTTAGAGCTCTTTAGATCTTTACTAAGCTTTAAGTTTATTCTTATAAGTAATAATTAAGCTACTATTATTTTAGTAAAGAACTAATAGATCTCTATACGCTTAAAGTATATTACTATTTATTATTACTTTATAAGAGAGAAGTATTTTAAGAGAAAATTTAAGATTAAGTATATTAGTTCTATATTTAACGTTACTAATATTTATATAAAGAGACTACTGCTACTACTATTAGAGAGTATAAAAAAGATAATAGGTCTATATTAACTATACTATTAGATACTTATAGAGAACTATTATAAGGAGCAATTACATAATAGAGTAGGTGCTTCTAGGCTAGCGTTAGCATATATACTTAGAACCTTCTATAGTTTTAATTTATTACTTCTACACTTAACATTTGTAGGCTTTGCAGGGACAGGAGGAGGCTTTGAAGGAATAGCAGGGTTTGCTGGAACAAAAGGTTTTGCAAAAACAGAAAGCTGTGCACGAACAGGAGGCTTTGCAGAGACAGGAGGCTCTTTCGGAACGACTCGGAAGTAATCCTTGATCTTGCCGTCCCGTGTAAGCTTGCGCGTAGCTGCTATGAATCGTTAGAAGCGGTTCCTTCCTAGCCGAACTATGCTGCACATACGCTTGACGTGTGGACTCTTCTTGATTGGAGCCATTAGGTTGTTGTGTGTGTTTACTGGTGACTGGCGAGGAGGCTGCCCCGGAAACCATTCCGAGAACGATACGCACGCTCCAATGCGACGAGATAGGAAGCGTTCACCCCTGATTAGCGTGCAAGGGTCGTTAGCGTGGCGCGTCGCGTCGCGTCCGAGGAATGAGACCGAAAAGCAGCTCTAATCTACACCCAGCCTCCTCTGCCCAGGTATTGAAGCAAGAGTCTTATCAATCATGAACACGTCACTTCCACGAGAAGGAGGAGTTTGCAGTGTCCATAAAGCTGTTCGCGCCATTCGATCACTAAGCTTCGAATTCCCAGCTGCTGGGAAGGATCGTTCGTTCTATTACTTCCCATCTCTTTTGCCCGAAGAGCCTCTGGTTTGAGCTCTCGGAGACTATCAGAGGCGTCCACCTAGCACCAGAGAATCCCGAGGTCTGTTCATCTATATCTACCACTCCCTCTCATCCATGCGACTATGCTTCGGACAATTCTCATCGCTACACTGCATTTCCTTATGCTCGTAATAACAGAAACCCTCACCAGAGTCAGAGTCACCCTCTTCGTATGGCGTATTCTTCTCCTCGTATGGCCCTTGGTAAACCCATCGACTGTCCACTTTCGTCCATTCCATATCGCGAGTGTGCTTCTCCTTCTGAAGCGAGACACCGGTGAACACGATGAGCTTATCACCCTTGCAGCCGATCACATATGCCGGTATATGCAGAGACAGATAGCCGTTACCTAGGAAGCGGATTCCAAACTTGTACTGTATGGCTCCCCCTGGCATCAGACTGGTAGCTGTACTTCTGCACATTTTGGTAGCGGTAATTATGTACATCTTCGAAGATGCCACGTTCGGAAGGTCTGGCATGGTTATGCTGAAACCCAAGCTTTGTAGCTTCGATGGGGACGGGATGCAGAGATCACTTCCCCTCAAATGGGGTCTACGACGACTGGGACGGCCATCGTCTATCGTAAAGTGCCCGCGGTGGAGGTTTGCTTTTCCGGTCTGATTGCCAGCATGTTGCTGAGCTTCAATATTCACACTGGAGTAGATAAGCCAGTTACCGTGGATATCTCCCACGGGATGCTCTTTGCCTTGTGCTTGTTCTTCGTCGAGCCAATGAGTCAATTCTCTTCCCTTGGCGATGTAGTCTTGGTGTTTTCTGAACCCGATTGCTTTCTTTATTCTCAGAGCATTCGGCCGTTCGGGCGCGTTGGAGTTCGCCGAAGAACTCCAGCCCAGCATGTCCGAGTCGCTTTCTCCGTCTCTTGGGATCTCGTCCCAGAAACCCCGCTCTTCGTCATCGTCCAAGGAATCGTCTGGCTCGGGATGGGGTTCCCAATCAGGCTCGTCTTCCTCCGTATCTGATTGACCATCTTTTACACGAGCAATTGTGTCAAGGACACGCGCGTGCTCATGTCCCCGAAGCTGAACAAGGGTAGCGTGGTTAAAACCCTCCTCTAGTAGTGCTATGAACATTCCGGCGATGAATAGTTGGAAATTCAGATTCTGGAATTGCCCATCGAAGGACTGTACCACGTTGGAATAGTACGTTAGGGCATCTTTGTAGCAGTTCAGGTGGTGGAGATTGTGATCTCGGTTTTCGCTCGTATCATACCAGTACCCATCGATTACTGTGAGAGGTGAGCACTCTTCCTGCCGCACGTAGAAGAGCGAACGTACTTTCTATGGCGGATGCTAAGCTCGCGTTTGCAGCCCTGGTTGCGAAGTCCATTAACCCTGGGGTCCCAAACAATTTTCCTATCGTTATCGTCGTGGTCAGTTTCGCGCTAAGACAACGGTACCTCGGCAGACTCACCATTTGGGAATGCCATGTTGACGTCAGAATGTATGTCGATCCGGGAACGTGGCGTAGCTGTAACAGAAGTGTAATTCGGAGTGTGATGTTGCGACGCGTTTTGTGTGGCCGGAAAAGGCTCGAAACGGTGTCCATGGTTACGGAAAGGGGCTGCACTAGCCGTCTTTGACCCGCCGCATCCCGAGGTCGTGAAAACACTATCAATTCATTTCGACGAACAATGTACTATACAACTATTTATTAAATCCCGCGGTCGTATGGATCGAAGTGCGTACAGTTATCCGGGTGGTCCGAACATTCGCTACGACTGTCTTCTATAGCGCCGGTAGGCGGGTTGTACACCAGTCCATCAGGCGTCTTTCCCCACCACTCTCTAACCACACTACGCCGCCTTTGATGAGGACGAAAACCTGGCAAGTCCTCAGCGATAGCGTAGAAGTCGATGAGACCGTTTTCTCTGCTTCCTCTAATCTCGTGAGCTGGAATGCGTATCTTCATATGCCCATTCTCAACAAAGCATATGCGAAACTTCAGTTTATGCGGCGAGTCTTCGGTGGACATGATGGCGTTAAGTCGCTTAGAGTTTACAATGCTTCTCTCCATCGTCCACTTAAGATCGCCTGGGAAGTGATCGTACTGCGGCGGAAGAGTCAGGGTGCCCTTAGCAGGCCTACCGTCCACCCGGCCGTATGTTGTGATGCTGAAGTTGCCGCAACCGCCGCCGTGGAATAATTCATTATCAGTTCGCCAGCCTTTTTTAGCGACGAGCATGTCGAGATATGAAGTAGACCAGAGATTCCACTTGAGAACTTGATTATAATCTTCCAGACTTGTTCTGCGTGCTTCCATGCTTTCGACGGGTTCTTCCTCTCCTGAAGCAATGCGTTCCTCAAGCCATGCTTCGATGGCTTTGCCACGCGCTTCTTGCTTCGCGTGTTTTGCTCGTGCCTTGTCGTAATCGCTGTACCAAATATCGCTGTCGCTGTCGCTTTCGCTGTCTGTGGTGTCTTCGTCGCTGGGCTCAGTTGTATCAGGGTCGCTGTCCTCGAGACGCTCAATTAGACCGCTGTCTCTTTCCTTTATTTTACTCGTTTCGATGCCATAAAACTCAACATCTTCCCTTATCGTGTAGAATGGTACCGCCTGGGCTCTCATACTCAAGTAGCCGTCGCGGAGGAAGACGAGAGTGATTCGCATTGACTCTTGGTTCATCTCCTTCTGTTTCTGCGATGCACCTCTGTAACGGACCTGCGATTCGTCACAGAATTTTACTGAGATCTCTTCAAGTGCGGGTATTTCGAGATCTGGCCACGATCCAGTAAATTCAACCTGCTCTTTGAGGCAGGTCCTCGTACCTAACTTGAACCACAATTTCGCCACTAGGAAAACTAAGAGCCTTGCGCTGCTTGAGAATCTGCCGAATTACTTTGCGACATTCCTTTTTACGACGCAGGTCTTCGGGTAACTTGCGTAGCTCCACCTGCTCACGCTCCTTTCTTGATATAATGCGCTTGTCCATGATGCAAAGCGCAGACTGAGAATCACCTGCCGAATGAAAATGTTTTGTGGTCGAAGTAAAGATGGAATGAAAAGACCTGCGGATGTTACGGCTGGGTCGGTGCTCACCGTGCACGTCATCACCTGATTGGTCTAACTCGATCAGGCTAGAGCTGCCTCCAGACATGCTGCCCACCTGGGCACCTTTGTGTCCTCTTCGATAGCTTGTGCTTTTTCAGATACAATATAGTTGCTCACATCTCTCACCGCAAGTTCTTACAATAAGTAGAGACTTGGATAAGTTTGCACCCTTTCAATCTGGAGAGAAGAAAGTCCACGGGTGCCAACCGAGTAGGAACGAAACGCATCAAACCTTGGAATAACCAGTCCCTTCGGTGTCTCCTCCCACCACTCCTGACCAGATACTCCACGCTTAGAGACCGTCAGTATCTGAGCTACCCTGAGCAACAGCATAGAAACTGTGAACATCATGGCCGTCGTAATTTACTCTCAAGTACCCATCTTCGAGAAAGATCAATGTCATGGGCCAGGGAGGCCGCACGCTGTGTAGGTTATTGGTGGCTCTAGACAAAACCACAGGCACCTTCTCGAGCGCGGGTATTCGTGACTTTGACCACGAACCCGTAAAACTTCCTTCCCAAACGCCACTGCCGTCCGGTAAACACACGCTTACTTCCACCTCCACCTCATCGCCATGGCTCAATACCCTCTTCAGCTGCAGTTGGCCTTTCTCATAGCCATAGAGGGACTCATAGTATAACTTCTTCCCGACCATGGTCATGAGGTTGATGTAGTAAGTTGAGTACAGGATATAGGTCGTTGGACAGAGAGTGGTGAAGGCCTCCTGGTCTTACCCAAGCGAGCGAGATAGCCGTGCTTCGACGTCGCGTACCTTCACCTCATACTTCGAGTGTCTTATGATTGCATGTCTGTAGGCGCGGAACTTTGGATCAAGCTCCTTCGGCGCCGAGTACCCTGTTTCGTTTGGCGGCATAGAGACGAACGATGGGCGTTCTCGTCCTTGGTTTAGGAAGATTTCAGAATAACAATACACATTAAAGAGGTTAATGACTGCGAAAGTGGTTCCACAAGTTTGCGGAGCGAGGAATGCATTAGATATTCTTGCCCCCGTGAGGTTGGAGTGAAGGAAGTGCTGACCGAATAACCAAATCCAGTTTAATGCAACGCGTCGCGCTCGCGCTGAGGGCCTATTACCATATAAACCACGATATGTAACAGGCAAATGATAACGATCAACCCTCTCAACCAGGATTGGAGTATCGAAACAGCGTCTCTTGACCCTGCCCATACTCTACGGAGATCAGACTACCAATGCTTTCTCTTCAACCGGGGCTTGAGCATCGACACAGCGTTCTCCGGCACCGGAGATACTTTACAGATTTCAGTCTACCAACTTCGTCTTGTCAAAATGAAACATCTTAAGTATTGCCTCGTATGCTTCGTCGAAATCGATCTTGTCAATCTCCTTCTGCATCTTCTCCCTGCCTGAGACAATCTCTTTGGCAATACTGGGCCAGTCGAGGGTGTCATTGCCTATCATCTCTTTCGCGCCGCTGTCTACATGCACTGGCAGTATCTTCCCATCCTTCTTCCTTAAGATACCATCAACAATGACAGTCTCGATATCTGCTGGACTGGAGTGTAGGATGATAGCGGCGACTGGGTCGTGCTGTGCGGCGCCCACCATACTGGGACTCAGAGCATCGAAAATGACAAAATCTGCCTTGTACCCTTCCGCGATGCGCCCAATCTCGCTGCTCATGTTCGCAGCCTCTGCACCCTTGATCGTTGCGAGATTGAAGGCAGCCTCGACGCTGAGGCTATCGGGAAGAGCTCGCGGAATCTTGTCTTGTTTCATAATGTGTTCGTTGTAGTGATTTCGCGCATTGCCGAGGCCGAGTTTTGCTTCAGCGATGATGGAGCCGGCCGTGGCGGAATGGCAATCAACGCCAAGCGCGGCGTTGTCCTGCAGTCCGATCGAATCTCCGCTTACGCCTCCATCTGGAAATGAGGCATCGAAGCAGTAGGATCGCCCCATGGCCATCTGGAGCTCTGAACTCGGGGTCGAACTCACGAATGCACCAGCGGCCTTCAAGAGCTCAGCATCAGCCTTGACGATCGTGCCACCATGCGATACGATGATCTTCTCATTTAGTAGACCATGCTCCGATACTGCTTGTACCACACTACCTCCTAGCGACACAGAGCCGTGGGTGGTAATCGTCTTGACGCCTTTGGCATTCACCCTGGCGAATATGCCTTTGATCATATCCGCAGGTAGAAACCAAAAGTCGAACGCGAAGCCTAGCGTTACCCTTCCGTTTCCGAAAGGCCCGTTGTCGGCGAGCTCCTCGAAGGTGTTCATGACCCAGTCTTCGAGAAGATTTGGATGCCAGGTGAGGGGGTTGAACTGCTTGACGAGCGAAATTGGAGTGTAGCAGAACACCGAGCGCATGCCGGAAGATGCAGTACCTGCGATGGCGGCTTTGGCGTGTTCGGGTGAGCGGGTGATATGTGCGTGCTCAACTACCGTGGTTGTGCCAGCTGCAATGCTTTCCAGTAAACTGGCGAGCTGGCCGTAGAAGACATCTTCGGGCGAGTATTGGAAAGACTGTGAGTTGCCTGCTCTTTGTTAAGATGAGGCCGTCTAGTTCCACATGAAGCCATACCAGTCACCATGTAGTCCAGCAGCTGCTCATTGGCATGCCTGCCTTTGAGCTGCGTCTGCCAAGCATGACGGTGAGTATCGATGAAACCTGGGCTGATTATCTTATCGGCGCAGTCGATAGTCTCGGTTCCCTCAGATGGTTTGATATCATGCGCGATTCTTGTGATCTTGCCGTCTTCGACAAGAACATCGGATTTGGTGGGAACGACGTGGGTGTTTGCATCGTGAATGAGAGCGATACCGCCTCGGAGAAGAAGACTTTTGGAGGCCATCGCGGGAGTTGCCATTCCTGTGTATAGTTGTCGCGCTTCTACCATTGCTGAATCAACGGTTCATATACCTCTTGTTACCTTGCATTGTCGCAATACGCCCCGGTCAGGGCTGAGGTCATCGTTGCTTCCTTTGACCCCTCACTCCGCTTTAATCGGCACCTGTGGACGCATCAAGAGCGAGACGCGACTTTTCATGGCGTTAAGGCTTCACCGAACGACGAGAAACGGAGTTTAGAATATCAGTCAGCTGTGCATCTAGATTTACCTGCATTTTGCCCTATCGAAAAGACACACATGTTGTCGCGTGTTGCAAGCTGAGGTCAGCGTCGCGTGTTGGTTTTCGCGAAGGGTCGATGACGTAATCTCGTGATGGCTTCAGCGCTCCAGCCGGGGCTTCACGCGAGACTGCTTCTCCCGCATCACCTACAGAACACCAACATTATGTCTATCCACGACGGATTTAGATCTTGCACAATTTCTGAATTCGCGTGGAGCTACAATTGGCGCAGCATCTCGCACGCGCCATTCACAGCCGAGGGCGCCTCAATTCGCAAATGTACTGACATTCGCCAGATCACGCATTATCGATCTTCAAGAGCGCTACCAAGCTCAAGCACGGCATGATTCACTACTTTCATTACCGCAACAACTCCCATCGAACGAATACCACGATAAGTTCGAGTCCTCCCTCCTTGCGGGCGTCCATTGCCCGACTAGGGGGTGACCGACATGAACCCCCATAAGGACAACAGTCAGCCCGTCGTAGTCGGCCATCCCACGTTCTTACGAACTCCAGACCCTCGGCGATATACATACGAAGGTGCATAGGGCTGGGAAGGCCAGACGTCCGGGATGAACCGCCACTCGCTTCATCAACCCTCACGAGGATGTGGCCTCATGCTGCGTCGGAATACCCGCAGATCATGCAGACTCCGTATTGTTCCAGACTCTCGGCTCGTGCTTGCTGGAACCCACGTCGCTGGTCCTGGTTGCATGCATTATAGCGTGGCAAACCAGTGGCATCCAAGCATCTTGGACAATTACACATCGTAGCACGCGGGCTGAAGAGGCGATACAGGCTGGTTGTAGTGGCATTCCGCTAGGTCGTGAGCGCGTGCGTAGCTGGACCGTTGCTTCTTCTTGAAGAGCGTGTCGATTCGCTGGCCCGCGCGAGTGTGATACATGCCTCAGATGGCGTGCTACCACGAAGTCGATTCGCATAGCCTAAGCGATTCAGGTAAGAGTTCAGCTGGAAAGTCCGCGCATGGGTGATCTCAACCCGAAACCCTGGTTGTACAGCATCTGGAGATGGATCTGGCGCTTGTCACGCTTCAAATGAGGCTGGAAACCTTACCCAGATTACCGATCCCGAATGTGGCTTCGCGGAAACCCTTGAGTTCTGACCCACGTCCAAGAGCTCAGCAATGAGATTGCATCTTCTTCCGTTTCTGCACACAAAAACTACCTTCTTAGCTAATGTTTCCATCGAAACATCGGGTTGATCACCACATTCAGGCGGAACGTCCCGAATCTTTCGAAGATACACAAAAGGGCGCGCTTGCATGCTCGCCATTTGTTTCAGTGCATTAGGCTTTCACACCTGCCGGCCTGTGTGACAGCCTACTTACAGCGCCGTCTTTCGGGCGCTAGTGCGGCTGCAGTAGACCTGTCCAGGTAAGCATCGCATTCGGTGCCAATGCCGCCAACCGAGATGTCGCAATACTTGGCATCAATTGCGAACGTTACGCGAATAGTTCCACCAGATGTCAGTCTGTTGAGATACTGCAAGGCTGGGCATGTCCACCTTTCTTCCTCTCGTTGGTAATCTCTTGTTGAAGAACTTGAAGATAACTAAACAAAGAGGTAACTGCACAGATTAGTTGCACGGATGATGTTTAGGACATTGTAGGTGTACGCTAGCCATGACCAACCAGCGACCCCAGATCTCCCACGCGATCCGCCAACGCCTCAAACGCCATATCTCCGCCTTCGGAAGCCCAGACCTCACAAGCTCAACGCTTCGCTGAGCCCAGCCTGCCA